TCAAGTGCGATGAGGAAGCAAAGAAAATGCAGTCGAACATCAACAAACTGTGTGCTTGGTCGAACAGATGGCTTTTGAAGTTCAACGCGTCCAAATGCGTGGTCTTGCACCTAAACACCGGCCACAATGCCTCTCCCAAACACCAGTACTATATTGACGCGACGAGGTTAGAAACTGTGGAAAGACACAGAGATCTGGGTGTATGGACGACCACAAATCTATCGCCATTAGAACACTGTAGAAAGATGGTCCAGAAGGCAACTAGTACTCTACACTGGATCAGACCTGCCTTTAAAATATTTCCTCCCGAACTCTTCGAAAGACTCTTTGGTGTCTTCGTAAGACCTCATCTAGAGTATGGAATGCCAGCAGCCTCACCATGGATGAGGAAGGATATCAACTTACTCGAACAGGTGCAACGCAGAGCGACAAAGATGGTCGACGGTCTGAAACATTTGTCTTATCAAGAGAGGCTGAATTTGCTTGGCTTATTCCCCCTTTCTTATAGACAAATAAACTGCAGTCTACTCTGGACGTTCCGGATTGTTCGCGGCCAGGGTTGCTCATTAAGAGCAGAGGACTTCTTTGAGTTCGCCCGTACAAATTAACTACGCGGCCATGCATTCAAAGTCGGGAATGAGCGCACACGTTTAGACCGACGAAAATTTTCATTCAACCAGCGGGTTGTCAGGCCGTGGAACTCGCTTCCAAGCGAGATGGTGACGGCTGATACAGTTTGTGTGTTTAAAAGAAAACTTGCTCGTCTAGTTTCCGACAGAAATCGGCTTGTGCAGCATGACTATGCACAGCCAGTTTTGTAAAATCTGTCTATTACAATCTTCCGCACTAATTTACAGTGACCCCATGCACTACCTTATGATTACGGTTGAACTGTGACCCAATCACATTTTAAATGCCTGCAATTTTATTTAATATCTGAGTATGAATCTGCGAAAGCACTGTACATAAATAGGGTCATCAAGGGCTCTGCCTGTAACCCTTCAATACATACATACATACAAATGAGTGTTCTAAAGTTTCAGTCCTGCATTTTCAAGGAAAACATTCTGTAATATGTACTTATTACCGACAACTTTTTAGTAGCGTGTTCATTTATGGCTAAATATTGCATGTACCTTTTTTAATAATATTTTTAAAGGCATTGCCTATTACCCTTAAATAGTGCGTCGGCACCATGATGGGATGATGGCATGCGTCGCTGACAGTGAAAGAGTCTCAGGACCATTTTTGGTGACTTGTTGAGTAGTTCATGGCTTCGCACTTACTTCCAACATTTTAACTTCATGTTCTCGGCCGTGCTGACGGACAAATACCGGTACGAGCTCTACGAGATCGGTATCACCTACAGGGCTGATATCCAATGCGTGCAGACCCCGTAGCTTTTATCCACGACAACTGTTCGTGATCCGTTTTTCGGGGTAGATTGCGGGCTCGCCGCCACTACAGAAACAGACGTAACGGAGCATGAATTTCCTCGTCTACGGCTTCACCGGATTCTGGCTGGCTAACACAGACAAATTAGTGAACATGCATCAGGCGCCACCCAACGCTGCATACGATATACCTCGCGTCCGCGTCAAGACCACTCAGAAGAAAACCGTGCACAACTCCGCCCGCTTTGCGGCGCATCCTAAGGCAGCTTTAAAATCGAAAATTAAGTAACTCACCGGATCCCAAAAGTCAACCATGCTTCCGGTTGACTGCAGAAGACAGTGCGGCTTCGCCACGGTCTCAAACTCAACATTAAATCAAGATTTCCAAGACCATCATCTTGACAACGCTGCTGTATGCGGCAAAAATCTGGACAGTCTACGAGTAACAAGCACGGAAACTCAATTACTCTAACCTCAGCCGTTCTCAGAGAATGGTAAAGATGAAATGGCAGTATAGGACCCCGGACATGTAGGTTTTGAAACGGACTAGAATCCTCGGTATCCGTTACCTGCTGAGGCTACTGGAGCTACGAATGTGCGGTCACCATATTATAATAAGCGCTGAGTGTCTATTAAAACCCCTACGGGTGATCGCCACAAGTAGGTCAAACACTCTGCTGCAAAAACACCGCAACGAACTACATGAAATGCATTCAGGATAACTCGAAGACCTAACAAGACTTCACACTGCAGCGTTCGAACTGGAAAAGTAAGCTGAGACTGGGGCGGTCGTCTACAGTGCCAGTAGGATTGCATCGCCAAAGCCAGGATAGCGGCTAGCAAGTTCCAAAGACTCCACACCCACAACGCCAACACACAACTACTTCCGAAATGTCCACTCTGTCAACGAACATTCCGCACACGGACTCGTCTTCTTGGACGTCTCAGGACACATTACAACAACAAATCAGTAACTCTTAACTGCTACACCAAAATCCGCTCCATCTTTCTCTGCACACGAACCTCCCATAGCGCCCACGACGTTGACCTCCCTCCCCACTGATGATCATAATCCCGATGGCCCAAGAAAGCGGTAAACGCTACCTCCATCATACCTGCTGCAACGCCCGCAACGATGACGACGACTATTACGTCCTCTCTCCGGCCACTGGTGAGAACACGTCTGCGCCTCGTTAACCCCTATTCTCACTGTCGCCATCCCAACACCAACGATGCGGACATCGTTCTAACCTGTCCTCATTGCGGTCGCACAATTAGTTCACGCATTGACCTGGCCGGTCTCTTGCAAATCCATCTATCTGTGCCTAACTCACCAATGCCACAAGTCGCCGCATGCACTTCCAGAATCCGCTTCAACTCTCCGAAATGTCCATGCACATTCGTTCAGCGCATGCGCATATTCGACCACGCGGTCGGCCAAGCGTGCGTTTGTGTGGAGCGACCTATTAGCGGACTGAAAGCTAAACTGTGATAACTCCTTCCTAGGGACGCTTTCCCACATGTGAGATCCGAACGCCTCCCCATTTTATGCGTAATCCTGGTGTGTGCGTTTGGAGGCTAGGTTGTGCATGTGGTGCGCACAGACGGGCTCCCTAGCTCTGTCAGACTCTTCTTCCACTGCCACGTTTTATAGCTAGTCGACGCGAGCAGAGTACTGGTGCTCGGGAGGGGAAGGGTAAGTGAGGTCGACGGCTTAGCGCACATCCATCACCACAAACAAGCTGACGAGCATGAATCTACCACGACGCTCTAATAACCGGGGCTTGGAAGCTAGCCAAATAACGAGATAACTCAGAACTCAGAGTCAACCCACTGTGTGTTTGTGTGCTATGGCCGACCGACAAAATGAGATTCAGGTTATAATGGCTCCTCCTGAATGTGCACTCTATGACCCTCACACCTAGTGGGATCCGAGCTAACCCTATAGTTGTCGCCGTTTAAAATCCTGGTCAAGTGTCCGTTGTGGGTCAGAAAATATGATGGCAATCCTTGGTTCAGGTTTATGCCGCGCCATCGACCTGCACCCTCCCTAACTTCGGATCTTCATGACAACATCATGTCATCGGGCCCACGATGGGAAGGAGGGTAAAGTATAATATGGTGCTGAGCAAGTCTACTTTCACCCTAAAATAATTGACGCGCAAGTCGCCATCCCTGTTCTCAACTTGCTGTTGGACACACGGTGGAAATCGTCAAAAACAACGATCGGCATGTGGTGGTATGTTTGTGTGCACTCTTAAAACGGTCCACGCATTAAATGCGCCGGGCCATCACACAAGATAGATCAGTTTCCCGTATTCGTTACTGGGGGTGCGCACATATAGCAGTGCCCGAATTCGGAGTGTGGCAACGGGCTGTGGTGCGAAACCACGCCACACCATTTAGAATTTGAGCTGTCCCCTTTGTCCTTTTGTACAAAACCTTGTTAATTTGTACGTTTGTGTCAAGGGATGCGGTGGTTCACATAAGTGCGGGGATTTCGATGTGACACGCAACTACGCTCTCCTGCCCCCGGACGTTCCGACTCTGTCTTAATACCGGACCCAGATGGGGGGAGAGGGTGTGCCAAATAATGCGCAAGTATACCATCACTGTAAACGAATTCCTGCGCAAATCACCGTCCCTGGTACAACCCTACGGTGGAGAACACGGTGGACATCGCCGGAAACGGTAGTGAAGCTGTCGTGTACGTTCTATTCACTACTAATGCTTTGCCCCTGGGGCGTCGCAGTACTTTCTCAGAACAGTGGTAAGCACACCGAATATGAAGGCTGGACTTTCTAGCCCTTTTCGAGGATATAACTGACTTCAAAAAGCTAAATTTGTTTGCTGTATTATCTCTTAAGTGAACTGCTTTGCAAGATTGCATCTGCCAATGCTTGAGTAAATGCTTCGTTTTACAGTGGCGCGTGCAGCTTGGGTTTTTATGTCTGCTTCCTAGTTTTCACTGCAGTATGTATCAATCCGGCGTCTTTTCCTCCTTTTCCGCCAGTTAAAGTATTGGTGCATTGACACTTTTGCAGCATAACTTGACTGTAATATCTTCGTGAGTACGCGACGTACATTTCCAATTACTCAAGATAATTCAATTTTTGAAGAGGTCTCATGGATCCGAAATCATTCATTTGGAACGTTTACAGACCACTCATGATTTATCTTGTCTTTTAATCTGCTTGAATTGATCCTCGGGTTCTAAATTCTTCCAGAGGGGGGTGTCCGTAGTCTAATGTGACTTTGCCTCGGGTTCAAGCCTTACTTTCGTCGATCATAAAGATGCCGGGGCAGACTATAGCGTTGTCCTGGTTTCTAATTTTATTAGCTATCGGCGCGATCATATTCCTTAGCATAATTATTGTTGTAAAGCGAAGCATTTCACGGCGCAAGGGTCGCGTCGGTAAGATTATTTACACACCTTGTGGCCACGGTGCCCCTAACGTATGCGTTAAACCATAATTCAGTGTCTCTTTAGATGTGGAAGGACCTGGTGAACAAGAAGATTAATGCCACTGTGGAGGTCCGGACTGAACCCCGGATTTTGGGCCCTACAAGCTCTGACGGATTGTGCCCCAATCCAACTAACCGTAAGAGCCCTTCGTTTTCTAACTCATTTCATGCAGAAGTCCTTGGCTTTCGCTTTCGGGCTAAAACCGTTGACTTGTTTGTTGATCTAAGTAAGTCCTCCCTGCTTGCATTCACTTTCACAGAGGAAGCCATATTGCTATCTTTTTCAGATCTGGAGGCTCCTCCCATACGAAATATTAGAGATTTTTTGATGGCTGCGCGTGCAAAAGCCATGCATCCTACCGCTCCCCGTGATATGGTTGATTCATATTGTAAACTGTACATGCGAGCTCGTCATGACCCTGGGGTACGTTTACGACTGTCCTAGCGACAAATTTTCACGTACTTATTTGACTGCTGTAACTTTCCTCTGCTTGAATACTGATATAGACTATATATGAGGCCTCTTGTAATGTGTATTTGATGTTACTGTTTAAACTACAGCCATACACTGAATCGGACTATTTTACCTTTGTGGATCTGCACGATCAGCTCATCAAGCGGTGAGTCTGTATTCAAAAGCATTTTGGTTCCACTGCCTAGCTACTAGGTGGGACCATTTATTCATTGCTTTTTACTACTTTAAACTGTGCTCCAACTTTCGCCACCCCCGCCCCCGAGACATCTATTTATCAGAACAAAACGGGCACCCCAAATTGATCTACCTTTTGTTATTGTGAACCGTAAATACTTAAAGGTTTCTTCCAGATCTGTGCACCTCTCAACGAATTATGGTGTTTACCTGAAATCTTCTAATTTTTTTTCATTTTCACCGCCCTAGCAGCTTCTTTTTGCTCACCACACTTGGCGTTGCCAATTTGGTATTTCAGGAACATCCTCTTGACTGTCCCTTATATCTCAGGTGTTGGATGCCCACTTTTTAATCCTCAGTTTACTTATATTCAAGCGTTATCCGAAGAGATCCTGCTCAATGCAAGCCGTCGAAGTCCACGTCTCGAGCAACTTCAAAATCCGAGCCATCAGATGCAAAACCCACCAAACTCACTTCCGTTTCTGCGGGTCTGCTTGCCTGTTCAGACAGACATCGCAAATTGGCAACCTATCAGCAGATGGAATCCGCCGATGACAATCTAGCACTGGCATCCAGCATAGGAGATTCATTCCCTCCTGAAATTTCCCAGTTTTATTCGCGCACATGCACTGACGATAACACGGGCTTCCTACCTAGTTTCCGGGGTGGACCAGTAGATAGTTTGCAAATGCAAACTATCCACGGCAGCGGTGAACCATCAAACCAGGGTGGCGGAGGCAGTGGCCACCATCCGGCGGTCACCTCTTTGTCGGGTAATCCGTTCCTTCCATATAACAGCACATTAGTCCGACCACTCGCCGGTAATGCAAGGCCCACTCTGAGTCGCAGCAGCAGCGCGGCCAGTGACGACTCTCAGACGGCACTTATCTGTCTTGACACTTCGAGAGCGACCTCAGGCCGCGTCCACGAACTTCCACATCACGAATAACTTTTGCTTCTCGTCCGAAATTCTTGCTGTATAGTGCCTTTTTTAATCTTCAGTGGTAAAGATATCGCTATATCTCTGTTTCACGCCTCCTGTGTACTAACTGAAACTTTCACTTGAGGCGGATGCTGTTTACGAGGCCGAATAACCTGGGAAGCCAGTTCATGAGCGATTGCCCAGCGTGGTTTTGTTCGTTGATGCCTATCTTCTAGCCGAAGTGCGAGACCTCACAGTGTCCACCTAGAGCTCGAGAGTAAAACCCAAAAATGCTTATAGTAGCAGTCATGAAGAACTTCCGCCTTAATGAAGAATTGTAAAACCTGTTAGCACACTGTACGTAATGAATATTTGTCCGTAGTTTATAATCATGTGGTACCCCCCAGCTAGTGTTAAAGTTGCTTCCTGAACCGTACTCTGGTCTGTAGACAGTGGCAGTCTTCCGTAGGTAGGTTCTTGCCGACCGAGCAGTGGTGAGGTTGGGAGCCCAAACGAAGGTCCTACAAACAAATACTACGTTGGAAGAAGCAGTCGAATACCGTATATTAGTGCAATGGATATGGACATGCTTTCTAGACGAGGCTTGCTCACATTTCACTTCTGCTCCAATTTTGGTTAGCTTTATGGGGAGAATTATACTTTTTGCGCTCTGTCAGTTGAGTTACGGGCCCACCATCTATTGGCCGCAGTTAAGAATGTCCAGGATCACGTGCAACTGATGTTCGTCACATAAACATGAAGGCAGGATGAAATATGCAAGCTGTCGCGTAGCTACAAGAAGACGCTTATCCAACGGTGCTATTATTTACATCACCATGATACCTGGGAACGATCCTTTCCAAATATATTACCTCGTCAGTCTTCCGCCTCTTAAGTATAGGTCGTATGTACTCAAGAACTCCACTACTCGTCTTTTATTTAATCAACAAATTCAGTGCGTAAAAGCCAACGCCTGTGCATCGACTAGTGCCATTCAACTACAGGACAGAGCTGGACGTGCACGAAATGGTAGAAACATGCCCCTTCCGGCTCAGTACTGCAAGATAATGGAGAGGCAAAGGTCCTTCATGGCCAATGCTGGTTTTAGCCTGCCTATGTTCTACCTTAAGTCGCTGTTTTACCTAAGTTCGAGTATATCGCACTCGCTTGGTTTCCTAGTCGATCTTTGGACGGATATCCACATGGTAAGGCAGCAGTGACGGCGATAACTTAGTGGCGGCTCCTGCCCACCACTTCGCGATACTGCCATCGGAGTCTGTGTGTGGGTAGTCAGCTTGCCAGATCTGAACCTCGCCTCTCTTATTAGCGCCTTACCTACTTTACTCGGTGCATTTGTGGTTATGACTGATCTGGTCGCTCTCGATTATGTGACGTATTGTACCTCTCCACCCGTGACGATTTGCGACAACGAATCAGGGCAGCTCGATCCATTCTCTTATCCAGCTACAGGCCCAAGTACCATTTTCATGTCTTCACGGACCGTGTCGTGCCAGGTCTTGAGTTGACCTCCTCTTCGATGCCCCCAGGTGGGCAACGACGCCGGCTCGGGAGCAATATAACTGAGCTCGTAAGGCGGACGACGGAGAACGTGCCCAAACCATCCCAGTCCTCCTTCTTGGAAAGCCGGAGATATCCCCGCGATATTATCGCAACGAGTGCAGACTGCCTCATTCGAGACGAGATCGGTGTACCTCACTCGAAGAATGGTCCCCATACAGCTGTGGTCAAATACCTCCAGTCTTCGCTCATCTTCCATGCGCAAACCCCAACATTCACAGTTGTGGCGATGGAGATGTCGCGTCGGGTCCATAGACAGATTCTAAGGTTTGGGAAGCCCAACCAGCGGCATCGATCCGGAAGACGATGTCGTCCCTGCTCTTTCCATTGGACATCAGCTTCGCCTCGGGGTTTTCGAAAATTTACTTCTTGAGGTTGGCAGTCACTAATCCTGCGGATCGCCTTCTCGTGGCCAGGAATGCAGCTCGAAGACAATTTAGTCTTCCCAGCGTCTATGGATAAACCGACCGGAGCAACTTCATTCATCCGTCACACCACCGACTGGACCATTGAAGATTGGGGCCAACAAAGCGATATATTAATCGTGGTCTAGATCAGTCGGCCATACCGTCAAAACCGTGTAAGGCCCTTCCAAGGGTCGAGTCAGTAGCGCAGTTGAACAGAATGGGCGACAGAGTGCAACCTTGTCGAACAGCACATCGGATATCGAACGACCGGGACATATTGCTATGGACGGAAACTCGCGCAATGATGGGTCGATAGTAGGCTCTGTTGATATCGATGGTTTTGGTCGACACACCATTATTATTCGCCACAGACACGATGAACAGAGTCGAACGCAGCGGCAAGGCTAACGAAGCGGACGGCTGTCAGTTGCCGGTAACCACGGCTGAATTCCAAAATGCGCCGCGGTGTTAGTACCCGGTCGGCGTATCCACGGCCAGCTCGGAATCCGGCTTGGGTGGGCCTCATCCTGAAGTTACGCACAGACTAGAATTAGGGTAAAAGCGAAGATCCCCGTCGCAACGTCGACAAGGTTTATGCCGTGGTAGTTCTCACACTTTGTCCTACCTCCCGTCTTGAAGACTGGGAGATAGGTCGTGATAGGTTCGAGCGCCTCAGATTTACTGTAGTAATGAATGCGCTGATTGGCCGTGGGGATGGATTCCCCAGTGTCGGCTTCACTCTCTCATACACCGGACGACTGCCCGAGCCTGTAAGCCAGATGATGATTTAGTTGGGCGCAGTGACTAGGAGACCTAAACAGCCCGTTTGCGCGTGCCACGCGCGAACCAACCGCACCGTTTACCAGGACGCCTCGTGGGACATGCCACCCACTTACGTGGGGTATGCTTGACAGGCTGGCAAGCCCCTCCCAGAAGTGAGCGCACTTTACTGGATGCTTTGAACACGCACTGCCAGTTACGACACTGCTTTCGAATCGTGTCGGATGTGGCGGTCACCGCCGTGGTAGCTGTTCAAAAAAAATAGTGAGCAGGGTGAGATCAAACCCAGAAAAGGGACGACGCTAAGGACGGGAGTGCCAACTGTGTCATTACCAAAGGTCAGCCCCTCAATCTCAGTCTGGGCCGCACTGTTACGCAATACTTTGACCGGTCAGTGGGATTACTTTCCGTCCGATTTCACTTTCAGTAACTATCTAACTTATGTGCAATGGCTCTTTCTTCGTTGTTCGACCCAGTCAGAAGGAAAGTCCAAGGTAACTCAAACGCCTTGGTACCAACAGGAGATTGCAGAGCTGTCCAAACCAACATGTCCGACTGTCCACAGTCCAATGGGTATAGCGTCTTATTGCTTGCCTCGATACCCGAGACTCGATAATGTCAATTTTTCTTTAGGATCGTCATTAATCGCTCTCAAAATAGAAGTTATCATGTTTGGCACGCATGTGCGAAACACGGGGCGAGTCCTCATGTATTCCCCAAACACATGGGACCCATGATCTATACTGCTCAGAATGTCAAGAAATACGGATTCTCCCCTTCGCCATGTGTGTGTTTTTAACTCGCGGATGGGGACCTCAAACCGACATTCGATTTTCGAAAATCCAGCATCTCCTGTACACACCCGGTCTGTATCGAGCTCGTGTACTCCTAGGCAGTATCTGTGATTTGTGATGATACCATATGATCTTGGATTGGGTGTCAGATTAGGAGCATGGGGTAACTTCGCACTCTTTCAGAAGTCCCCGAATAACACACTAATCTACTCATTCTACCTGCTAAACTGCTACTTTACTCGTTTACATGGCTGTTCAGCAGAAGCGGCAGGGAGCCCTTCAAGAAATAAGAGTAAGGTGATAACAAAGACGTTCTGTTTCAGAGGAAAAATTGCACGGTCATTTTGAACGAACAGTGCTTGCACACATATACAGACGCGGATAAAGCAAATGTTTAGGGCGGTAAGTATTAAAGACAATACTAAAGAGTGATGATCGTTCTGATGGTAAAACCTGGCAAATAGCCAAATCGGGATAGTAACAAGTGTGGTAAGATACTCATCTTCGTCAGTCTACGGCGGACTGCGGTTAGAGACGAGGCCTTCGTGTGCAGACGGGTGACTGACAAGTGAGGGAGACTGAAATGGCAAACGAATAGGACGTTGGACAATATTGTCTGAAGTCAAGTATTGACTTGCACGCGATGTCAGCAGAGCGTAGGTCATGCAAAATGACTAAAGCATTGAACAAGGGGTCCACAGATGGCTCATGTTTAAAATACATACTGCACGTTAAATGGCCACAGAATTAACTGGCTAAGAATTCAAACAGTATGGTACACACCTGCACACAACAGGCTAACAGAAAGATTGAGGACTTCAGGACGGTAACTGCGGAGTGAGGCCCACTGCGTTTTTGATGGGCATCTTCGCAAGTGGATCGCCGAAGCCCCAAATGTGTCCCCAACGTAAACTCATTCGCGTCAAAGATTTCAAAAGCAGCCAAAAATGTCCGGGCGTCCTGACAGACTGCCAAATACAACTCGCAAATTAGACTCCTAGTTCCTACGATCACATCTATTCGGCTTTGTTGTCATTTTCCGAAGTTGGCGGAAGGAATCATTGTTGCGAAGTCTTGCTCGGACGTACAACTGGTGTTCTGAAGCCCATTCGGTTTAATAGACGTCGTTGAGTTAACTTGAAAATGCACTCAGGTACTCTTAGGGATTGGGACTTGCTGCGGTCATTTGCTACTGCCCTTTCTTCAACTCGGGGTACAATGAGAGACCCGATTTCTGTGTTCAGAGCCTTGGCTGTTTATAACATCAAGGCGTCTTGCACGATAGCGATTGACCACGAATGAGAAGCGAAACTTAAGTCGTGAGAGAAGGAGAACATGGTCTGTCTGGCAGGCGTTGCCATTTCCGGCATCACACATCGACCTGCTTTGACGAACCGAACTAGGGGACCTTGAACTGACGAGAATTTAGTCAAGCTGGTTGGCCGTGTGACCACTGTTCGAATATCAAGTCAGGAGGTGTTTGCGACAATGCTGATAGCACGTGTTGATGATAATTAGAGGGTTCGGGTCAGCAAAGCTCGGCCTAAAGCGATAAACAAGTCGCCCGGCCTAGTCGACCAACCCAGATTACGATAAGGTAACATTTCAACCAGTTCTTGTGTCTACGGGTAGGAAGCTCTCACCGCAATGGTCGTCAGCTGATTTGGCGCGTAGGCAGAAAAGACAGGGATATTGGCAAGGTGCCACTGGCTTAGCGGTCATCGACTGGAAGCCATGCAGGCAATGCATGGTCTTCCCGTTGTGAGGTGATCTCAACAAGCGTCCGCCAGAAGAGTCGTAGTTATCACTGCAATAGGGGGTAATGCGGAAGTTGACCCCATTATCTTTCAGAGGTGTTCTGGAAGATTTCAAATAATTTCCCTTGACCCAACTGTGAAAAAACTGGGCGCCTCGGTGGGATTTGAATCCACGACAGCAAGGGGAGGCATTAGTACAGCCAACGTCAATTTAGACAGCCGCCGCGCACAGAGATGGCTTATTGCCGAACAGCGATAATGTTCTCTCATAATGGTGGACACGGTTAGTAACATGCTATTGCCTTCATCCTCACTCCCGTCACATATTGTCCTCCTTTAACGTATCGGGCCTTGCTAAGGACATTCCTATCATATGACGTATAACTTGCATGCTTCCTCGTATCGCCGATGCTTCTTACCTCTTTCGGGTCGACGCTATGCAGTTGCGTCACGCGTCAGACAACGCTGGACACATCTGCAGTAGGAGGGGTTCTTAAGAAACGTTAACCGAAACCCAAAGGTATGATTTTGATTATGTGGGTTTGCAAAGTTGGCTATCACTCAACATAACCCCAGAGTATTTCAGTCACGCCAGCATGTCGACTTGTGAATGCACTTCTTTCCGGCCACCTATAAATGGCCCACTTGTCACAATGTGGCCACTTATGTACTATGCATCACCCCATTAATTGCTTATGACCTTATAAATTCAAACACATTTAATAGAAAACACGCACAAGAGAATCCTTTCCTGCAATCAGTTGGGAGCAAATCACGTCTTCAAACGTTGTACTACAAGAAACGGTTGTTGTGATCTCTAAAAAGTTTGCACTTGTAAGAATTAAAAGACTGTTAAATGTCCAACTAAACAGCACCGTATGTCTGTTTATCAATGGCCAATACTCGCTGCAAAGTTTTATAAGCCGTACATGGTGTCGTCTCAGTAGCATGGAGGAGTGCATGACTTTCCACACGCAGTACGTATGCAACTTGTAGACATGTCGGGTTGAAACATATTTACGAGTTGAAAAACGTTTTAGAGCCAAAACTATCCCTTCTTTGGGTAAAAAAATTGAAGACGCGGTTTTCTACTAAATGACTATGAGAAATGTAATTGAACTTATAGAGGCGAAGAAAGTCAGTAAAAACACACACTACCTAAGTAGCCATTTTTAGTGGATAGGTTTTGCAGGCGGCTGGACAGAAGTGCACTAGAAAGCCGAAATTCTGATGTAACTGAAGAAGTCTGGGGTTGTATTGCATACCAAGCAATATTACAACCCCATGCAAGTTATCCCTTCTAATCGAAAACACTCTCGAATTTCAGTTAGCAGTTCAATAGACATGCCACCTACTCTAGATGACGATAAGAGCTGGAAAAATACCCTGAACCAAGATGGGAAATATGAAGAAGGCAAGTCTCAAAGAGCATTAGGTTTTAGCTTTAGAGGGCAGTCGCTGACGAATTCGTTAAACAAGGGAGGACTCGTTAGAGGACAGTAAAAACTTACAGGCACTCGGACGGATTCTGGCGAGATAGTCCCCTTGGAAGGATACAGAGAAGAGTAGAGTGAGCAAAATAAACGGCAACTTTATTACCAAGTAGGATATTAGTTGCCCACAGCATGCACTAGTCCTCGGAAATTAGCTGGATGGTTGAAAAACTAAATTAAGTGTGAAATAGGAGCAAGCAATGGAGATGGTCAGTGGTCCCAACTAGCTACCTGCTGTTAATTACTATTCTGCACGCACCAATGTGGTGACAATACACACTGTAAGTTCTAGTAGCCAGCTGCTGGTGAGTAGCTCAGTAGCATCAATTTAATGTCCAAGAATGGTTATGGACGACTTGGGATTCAGACAGACTACGTGAGAGCCAAGGAAAAAATCTCTAGTAGGGCAGTGATATGGGACGTAGGGTAGCTTCAGTAGATTGCGTTATTTGGAAGTGCTCGTAGCTCGCGCACAGCTGGGTCAAAAGGCCAATTCGTAATCCTCATCAACGTGGTCAAAATATAATTAAATCACTGACAGTGTAAGTATATCCATGGTGCTGGCGTTAAAGCAGCAGCCACCCATGTTAAGTTATGCCATGCAATGGGACATTCACAAAGCTCTGCGACTCTTTTCTCGAGCCGGAACTGGTTTACTAAGCAAAGCAGCAAACGAACATCTTCCAAGCTGTCACAGTCAGCTAGCCCAGACTCACCACACCACTGCTCTGACCGTCCCGTGAAGCAGTTTCATCCGTTGGGGCAGAGGCCGCCGTCGACGCTGCCTCATCACCATCCTCTTCGATTGGTGAGACCGGCTGGCCCTTGAGATAGCCACCACTAGTAGACAGGCGGACACAGCGGGGAGGGGTTACGTAGTTGGTCACGTCGCCCAAGGGCGACAAACGACCGGAGGGACGGAGTCGAGGCGATGGAGTGGCCACCAACGGACTGCAGTCAGTGTATCCCTGGACCCGACGAAACTCTGTCAAAAGACGTGGGTGGGGGGCCGTTTTGGCCAGACTAGTGGGATATACCAGTTCCTTTTCTCCGTCACGGCGCATAGGCGTCATCCCACTGGGACAATAGTCGCGAATAGTCTCCATAAGGTGGTGTGAGAGTCTTTCTGCGAGTTCTGGCAACGTGGTGCTTATGGTATCCATCTGAGAAAGCTGTAAAACGATGGAATGGTTACATAAAAAAATGCCCCGAAATACAAGAGCATAAAAAGTCAGGGGAGTGCAAATAGTTCCTGCCCAAGCAATCTGAGCTGATTCTCACCCCATGTTCTACAAAGAATAATCAGGTTTTGTTGATCTGGCACTACCCCGTTGTATGACAGTTATTCACGACTTGATCATCTGTTGTAAGTGTAAACGAAGTCTCCTTTAATTCATAGCTGAAGAGGAAACCTTAACCGTCGGGGGCCTAACAGCACCCGGGAACCCAAATTGATCGAAATTGTCTCAGTTGGGTAGCTATTCAGAAATGATTTGCTGCAAATACAAAATTGTCACTAAAAATCGAATGCTTGGTTGAATTCTCATGAAAATGCCACAGCTGTACATGAAAGTAAACGCATAGATAGGCTGCTACGGAGGTACCTTATTGACTGGAGTACTGGTCGGACTATTGCGTTAAGTATAAATGGTTGGTCTGCAGGGATTGAATACTCCTAAGAGAGTGAAAAAAACAAGGTTTTCCCGTTGCCTGAAGGCTAATACAGATAGGCCCTCAGTATTCTCAGGGCGGAGATTCTGGCTGCAATAGTTCCTTACGTAGCCTCTATGGCGCTCCCACTCAGTCGTGACCCCAGCCTCTCTCGTTTCTGTGAAAACCTGGTCCCCTGTGTGCGAGCTGGGCGTGTAGCACGAGCAGACGGGTTGCCTGGTCTGCGTCCAATCCCGCCTCCGGTCTTCCTGAATCTGTTTGGACAACGGGCTCAAGCGGATAAGGGAGAAATGATTGCGGTGGATTCTGCGCAAATCCACTGTCACTATGGACAAGTTCACACTCAGGTCACCGTCCCTGCGCCTGTCATGCTGTGGGGCATACGCATGGGCATCGTTGTTCGCGACAGTCAAACCCTGCGTGGCTCGTGAATTTCTTATGGGCACGAATGATGCCACATTAGTGCTCAGTCACGCCTGGACGTATTATGGTCTGCTTACTTCGCATCTACCCTCCGCCGAAGGCTGCACAATCAGCCGTCAGCTGTTGAAGCGCCGAGCAGCCCGCAGATAGAGTAAACACAGGATCTTTCTTGCTAAGGTTCCCGCCATCCCGGCTACACATTGTTGGACCAGAGTTGCGCATCGTGCCGGTTGGTCAGTAAGCAATAGCGTCATGGGTAATTGTTCAGCATATCAATGAGGCCAACTAATTGCTGGAGGATGTCCGGCAGCCACGTGGTTGAAGAAACTACCGAATGTTCGGCATGATTTGTCGTATATGAAGGTATTCGAGAGCTTCGTGGCACATCAGAGTCTAGATTTCTAGGTTAGCTCTGCACCATATTCTCAAGGTTCCACAAGCTAATTCGTTATAACAACTTACTCCCTAGACAGCTCCGTAAACTCCCTAAAACGCTGTACTTATCATCCATACGGTCCCTAACTACTAATCCGGACGGCATTTAAACTTGCCATTCTCCTCTATTGAAAAACCCAAAGCTCACCTTAGAATGGGCGGATGATATCCTGTCTTCGAACTCGGACAGCGATTCTCCCGTTCTCGTCTCATTCACTTTGAGTCTGTACTTGAAGTCTTCCGTGAAATCAGTGAAGATTTTGGTCGGCTGGGAGACAGATGTCTCCTTTTCGGGAGATGTGAGTTGATAATCGTTGCTCAGCTCTCGCCAGGCATCGGACTGCTGGGCGAGCTGGCCGCCCAGACCACTCTCTGCACAGAGATGGGCCGCGTCAGCGGCGGAGGCGGCAAACCGGTCGCTCACTGACATTAATTGGTCAGCCTGTGAACGGAGCTTCTCACCAGCCCCGGAAGCACATTGAGTTAGCTCGGCGACGATGTCCTGGGTGGTCTGATTAATCGAATCTTGCACTTTGAAAACAGACGTGGAGATATCAGAGGAAGCGTCATTGAGAAGATTCCCCTCTTTGTTAGCGAGATCGCCAAGGCGGGATAGCCGGGCAGTCAGGCGGCCATCGAGCTGCAGTGCCAATGGGGAATATTAAACTCTAGACACGGTTGATTATGATCCCGACAGGGGAGTGAAGGGTTTTGTTTAGCAACACCTAAGAGACTCCATAATTTGAAAGCAGGATTAATATACCGACTCCATATTTGGCTGCACGAATGATAATGTAGGCGTCTTAAAAATCCCCAGATAAGAACCTTTTAAAAAGTAAAATACCCTTTAACATGTTATCTCATATAAAATTGTACGACTATGTTTTCTATGATAGACGAATAAATTAAAAGAATCGTTAAAAACCAGTGAAAATTGTATTAAGTAGTCATTTTTCCTGGGTGAAACTTGCACGTGGCTGAACAATATTCCACTAAAACGCGCTGCCATGCACGAATTAACTTGGGATATACTGGGGGCCACGTACCTCATAAAACATCAACCAGAATTCCGAAATATGGTGTGCGTTAAGAGGGATTACTTAGGTGGACAGGATGACATTACCGACAAGGGCAAGGGAGACTGGAATCCCCACTTCCGGCTTATTAGCCGTCATCAGTCAACCATGCCCAACGCCAGGTCTTGCAACACCTGAGACTCCACTCCGCGTTTTGTCGACAACGAGTCCAGCGCTCTAACTATTGAGCCACAGGCCCGTTGTTTTGTCCTGACGAGGCATAACGGGTCGAGTATGTTCCATAACGCGATCCGTGAGCGCCCCTCTACCGTTACCTGGGTGGGGTTTTAACACTGGAGGTCATGCACTATAATCCCAAGATGCCGGCCTTTGAATGCAAATCTTTCTGGCTGCCAGCAAAAATCCCACCCGCTGAAAATGACTGCTTAATTAGAATATATTTATATTGATTTCCGCTGTCGTTACAAAGAAGATACGCTATCTCATGAAATGTTAACCGAAATTCTGAAATATGTTTTCGATTCGGAAAAATTACTCAAATAGGGTTGCCAATTATAGTGCAGCAAAATTCTAAGATTTCAGTCACGCCAAAGTGCCGGCTACTTAAGCAGAACGAAAATTTACCATTGATTTCCAACGCCCTCATAAATTCAATTATGTTTTACAGAAAACATGCACAAAAATATTCCTTCTTGTGCCCATTTGGTATCGAACGAAGTTTTCCTCAAATTTTATACTTAAGGGTATCTTTTAGTTTTAAAAAAGTTTCCAGTTGCGAGGTTTTTTAAGATCTTGAAATGCCCATTCACATAGCATCGCATCGGGACTTTTATTAATGCTACTTATAAAGTATGCAACCTGGTTCGCGTCCATTGCACAATTTTGTAAGTGCTATATGACGTCTCTTTAACGGCATACAGAAATGTGATATTGCTTTGACGGAGTGTATACATTACGTAGCCTAGAAACTCTGAATGTAGGTGTAACGGCCGGTGGGGCAAAAAAGTATTCAGGGAGCGAAAAGGTTTCCAAAAACTAAAAACTACCCACTCTTCAAGTATAAAATGTGAATAAGGCGTCATTTCCTACCAACTGAGAACAAGACATCTTTTCGCTTGTTTTCTATAAAATATATTTGAATGTAGGGGGCATCAGGAATCAACAGGAAAAAATCACTCTACCTAAGCAGCCGTTTTAGAGAGTGCAGGTTCTGCAAGCGGCCGAAAAGAAGCTCGTTCAAAAGCCGGCATCCTGGCGTGACTGAAATATTTTGTGAATACGGTGCGCGACAGTTAGTCTAACGACCCTATTTAAGTAATGTCTTCCAGTCGAAGACGCATTTCAAAATTTCGGTTAAAATTCCATGGGATAGCGCATCTATTGTAAGTCTAATGAGTACGAGTGTTAGGCTGGACACGACTCGAAAAATAAATGCTGAGACCTTTTATTTCGAAAATTCCAAATTCCTTACTGAGTACGCTTCATAGATCTACTTGGTCAGAATGAACTTGCGAGATAAAAAAAAGAAGCAAGTTGGGAAAACATGGTTGCTTTTCAGCCTAACCACATGAAGATGCGCTGTTAAGAGACTTTTTCTGTTATGTATAATGTTTCTGGTCTACGATATTTCATAACGCTCAAGTAGTCACTTTTACAGTTCAGTTTTTCCAGAGGACAGAAAAGAAGCTCATCCAAAAGCGGACATTCTGGCGTAAATGAAATACCTTAGGACTGTGCTGCACGATAATCAACCTTACAACCCTGCCTAAGTAACTTGTCCGAGTCGGACACATTTCGGAATTTCGGCTAAAAATATTCCTTTTTTGCTAATTTTGTAGCAAATTACGTCTACAAATTCTCTACTCAAAGAAAGGATAGCTTCTACTTTCAAAAAGGTCTTCTAACTTCGGGTGCTTTCAAACCCGACCTGTCGTTTCACTTGCGTTTCTTGTTCCCAGACTACAGGCCGTATTACTTTCTGCGTAAGGAAAACCATACATTCCTTTACGCTATTAAGAACGCGTCACTCATAGCTCATGAAATTGTGCAATATATGCAGACCACGTTGTAGATTTTATAAAGAGCATTAATCGACGGATAGATGCGATGCTATTTGAACAGCCGATATGCAGCCCCTACTGAAATATTTCGTGATTATGCTGTATGATACAACTCCGCCTAAGCAATCCCTTCTAACCGAAATCACACTTCAAAATGTCAGTGTTTCATGAGGTACCCCACCTACTACGTGTCCCACGTGGCATCAGTGGTCATCTAGAGATGTAAGGTGTTATCCTTTAGAGAAAAGCCGGGGAGGAAGACACTTTCCCAGAGTTGGAAAGGGCAAGCTACATAGTCTGTTACTCAGGGGCTCGAGCAGAATGATTTCGTACTCAACGTCCGAGACAAAATGTTCAAATCTCTAACAAAAGTCAGGTTAAAGGAACAAATTGTGTGCAGACAGGAGACTTACAATGCTGTGTGTTTCAGTTCGTGCTTCAGACAATCCCTTTACCCGAACAACCACGTCCTGGAGAGGCGAGGGGAGTAGAAGGCACAAAGGGACCCAAAAACAATGGAAAGAATTTGCCGTCAACAAAGTAGTTAGGGAATTAACGAAATGTAACTGTAAAACCTCAAAACAACGATGGTAATTCCATAGACCAGGGTCGCCACTTTGTGACAAGGAAGGTATGTTGAGTTGTATAACGGATATTTCACAACTACTCTCACGAGCGCACTGCTCGCCCATCGAGTCCGGGTTGACAAAAAGGCTGAAAAATGACGCTCTGGGATAAATCGAGACTTATGACTGCTAAATGAGCATAGCTGATGTCGATTGAAAAACCGGTCGCGTTTAAAGAAAATCAACTAGAAACTACATTGTGGAGGGATAAGACATCGAACAGAAGTGAATATGGAGAAGGCCCAACACATAAACACATGACGATCATTTGTGAGAATTACGTGGAGAGCGGAGAGGATGCGATCTGACTCAGAATCTTCTTTTTCCCGCCTCAAAGCAAGCTCAGCTTTTATTTGAGCAGTCTCCGCTGCCTCTAATTCGAGCAGACGGGTCCAGGCTTGAGCAGAGGACTGGAGAGTCACCGTGGTGGCCGCCAGTTTGGAAAGCATCTCGGAATGTACAGCAGCCTGGAGTAAAAATGGGATGGGGAACGAAAAGACACAGGTAAGGCAGGCCCACAGTGCAGTGTGGGGTCATGTATGAGGCGGTGGAATTCTAATTTGTAAAGGAATACATTGGAGTATCGATCAAAACAAAGTGACAGTATACCTCCTGATGCATGCGCTCCTGGATAGCCGACAGCCTGGCTTCCAAGTCGCTACCCAGTTCTCGAACCGCAGTTGTTGTCGACGTAACACAGTCCGAGCGAAGAACTTCAGCAGCAGAGGCATTATCAGTCGCCAACTGGTTGACACCAGCACTAGCCTGCGCGAGGAAGGTGGAGAAGCCGGCAGCGATTGTAGAAGACAGGAGACGAAGGTCATCGAGGTTCCTCTCCTGCACGGCAGCCATGTGCTGGCGAAGGGTGGCTGTCGGGAACAGGGATATTTCAGAAGGGATTACAGCAAGCTGTAAAAGGGTCGGGGGAGGGGCCTGAGGGTTGTACTCCCTATTTGGATGAGCGGTAAGAGTCACAACCCTTACGTGTTCTGACTTTCCTTAGTGCTGTTTTACGGCCAGGTCCTACAAGCGGCCAAGAACGCCCGGTTGCGGAGCTTCAACTCATGAATATAAAAATAGTACTAAACGAAAGGACTTGATGGGTTGCAGCGCATGTACAGATTTGACTGTCAGTTTGCAATCTAAGACTCAAGTTGATGGCTTGAGACAGTGACATCGCACAAGCGGCCTGGACAAGCTACTAGTGAGTACGTAGGCGGAGATGGTGGAGTGAAGCACCACTCCACATGACAATTTGGCTCACCCCTAACTATAAGCAATCTGACAGACTTGAAACCACCATGACACGGTGACAGTCAGCACATGTAAGATCGCCAGCCGAAGTGATAACTCGGTTTTTATTTGAAAGGGGAACAAACGTGCAACGGCTCCTTAATGTGACGTTAGTTGGATACACCGCTCACGAACAGTGAACCTAAGAATTAGACGAGGTAGCAAGATAGTACTAGATGTCATGGTAAAGACCAACGCATCACTGACTCTAGACTCGAAAACGAAAAAAAGCTAATGGAAGACCTAAAGCTGGCAGAACTATGTCCAATTAAGTTTCTACATTTAAAACCGCATCTGAGGTCATTTCGCTAAGCTACGAGATACCTATGACTTGCAGAAAAGTCAATGACTGCGTCGTCCGTGTGAGTGAGTTTTCGATTCGCTCAACAGTTCTGATGGGAATGTGTTGCAGTTGTTACACGCAGTCGACAGGGTTGGAATTCGAAAAAGACTGCATGGGTGTTTCTAACCCCTACATATGTTCATTCAGTCATGAAGGAGAAATTAAACTTGATGGACAACAAATTTCTAACATTAGAGTCATTACTAATAAAGACGAAAGGATTTACAATTATCATTTCTAGCTCATAAGCCGTCGTCGGCCAGCCACACTCAAAACACAAGTCTGGAAGAACGAAATTCGAACCCAAATCCAAATTGGCCTCGGAAGTTGGCGTTCTGCCAGTTTAGTAGTGGAACAACCATTCTGATTGACCGACGACAGTGACAAATGTCACAAAGGACTGACACAGTCTCCCTCCTTTTCGTAATGCATCTCAAATAATGATTTCTAGTGATTACGCTACCGTCCGTAAGGAATAAAAATAGGAGTTCCAGCGCAAAGCCAAATACCGCATTTCACCCTGCAATCAGACTACATTGGTGAATTCCTACTTCTTTCGTAACCCTTCCGAGCCTTTGGGGCAGGTTGCAACCATCCCAAGAAACACACACGCAGTAAGCCCTGGAAACCGCTAAAAACATTCTATTGTTTTAGACGGCGATAGAACCTGCCCCCGGCCACCATTAAGAAACATGCGACTTGAAGCTCCAAATGGCAATGTGGCGAGCATACGTCTGCTTTGATAAATTCTCCTCAAACCTGTACATTTATATTGCTATTGAAATGATAAATAAAAAGATGCAGCCAAGTATATAACTACGCTGTACCTTGGGTTTGGGGGAGGGAAGAATGACCTGAAGCTTACCAAAATTTTTGCTTAAATCCTGGAACTGGCTGTCCATCTCGGATCTTACGGACTGCAGTAAGCCGATCGGCTCCTGCAGCTGTTGTGACAGCCAGGTAGAGGATAGCGATTCGATAACCGCGCGATTCTCGCGATCCAGCAGATCTACACGCTCGAGCTTCTCGTGAAGGCGTTGTACATCGTCCTGGTAGACGGTAGCGGCCGAAAGAATGGTGCGTGCCTGTTCATTCAACTTTGATTCTGTTGATTGATGCTGTGAGCGTAGGAACTCCTCTTCCTTCCATTTCCGTTCAACCCTCCGAAGTCGACGCGTGGTGGCTTCCTGGCAGTGTAAAGAAGGAAAAGTTAATAGCCTGTTGGCTTCTGAGGTTGGGCAAATGTCTCAATCGGTCCTTGTTTTTGCCAGAATGAAGTGGAGCACCGAGTCGTAATGACGCAGGTTTTCAGCCATTCACCACGGAATGAAGTACGAAGTAGATAAAGTAGGCGTGGTGGGTCACAACGATTGTGCGGATGACTGTGGTTGAGTAAAGAAACACAGAATGACAGTCAAATCAATCGGCGAGCCGATCACATTCAGTCCCGCTGTGGCGTAGGCACACCTGGAGATAGATGGTCTGCGGGGGCTAATAATGGTTGACTAACGAAACTGCCCTGAAAACAAAAAGTCCCCATTTTTTCAGGCTACTTTACATTGTACCGTTCCAAATCAAACAATAATGACGCAACGTACGTGCAGTATGTCAAGCTAATACTAACGGCTCGTCAGATTTAACGCTGTGAGGAACGCGCAGATTTACCATTGGAAGGGATTCCCCAGTGTCGACCCTACCCTTGCCGCTCCAGGTATTAGCTGACTGTCCAAGTCAAGCCGACTGGAAATAAGTTTAAGTGCGATACTTGATATCTATCGTACTCCAAACACGTGTTGGTCCTCCAGTTCGTAACGTCAGACCAAACGTAATGGCAGAGCTATCACGTAAGTGAGATTTGCACAATCTAGTACACGACGTTGGCAGACTGCATCGCAAGCATTTTGCACGGATGTGTTGTTGGAGGCTGTAGTGTATACGTGTATGACCGAGTAGGTCCGTCTGTTGCCTAAGAGTGTATGTGTGGAGAGCGAAATGTGATGAGGGAGTCAGAACTGTGCCGTTTCATTTGGGAATTTCGTGGAGATGCATATGGACGAATCGATGTCAAAATGCCCTGCCACATGGTGAACAGGTGAGACGTACGTTTCAGAGAAGGGGAGGTTGGAACCGTGCCTGCACTGCTGACGAACGAGATAGAAGCGGTGTCCACAGCAGCGACGCTGGTGGACATCTCGTTGTGTATTTGCCTAATCCGCACGGTTGCATGGCAATGCGCCAAGCCCATCGAGTCTGTGCAGGGCCTCCCCAGGTCTTCTGGTTTGCACTTAAGATCCTCCGGATGTCCTTGTGCCCTTGGGTAGTTTCTTTCGAGAGTACCCGTGGCAAAATTTCTGCTAAATACTCACTTGGACAGGCGCACGTCATCCATCCTCTCGTGCCTGATCTAGAACAATTGCATAAACTTCGAGAATGGCGTATATACTGAGAATGTCGGTTCTTCCCAGAATCTCAGTGTCTGTACTCCTTTCTTGCCACTTCGCTTTCATAACTCAATGAAGGTATTTGGGGTTTAAATGATCGCATCCCCTTCCCTGGTTCTCACAGACTCCATACCTTCGTCCCGTACAGGAGCGCTGTCAAGATAACGACTCCGTACACCCTCAGTTTCGCGTTGGAGCGAACCCGAACTAAGTGCTTTGGCTGGTCCAAGGCTTAATAGGCTTTGGGGATCCGATGACAATTTCATCGTTGATCTTGGTTTCTTGAAATGGCGCCTCGCAGGTAAGCAATATTTGATGACACTGATCTTGGGTTCGTTACATTTCTTTTGTATTTGACGAGCAGCGAAGGTCATGTCAACAGTTCCACGGTTCCCTGGGAATCTTAACTTTCAGGAAAGAACTCATTCTCCAGGTTAGTGGTCGGGAGACTGTGCAAAAATAAGAGAAATCTGCTCGAAATTTCGAGGAGATGCCTCTGTGGTTATCACAAAGTTGCCGGTTCCACATGAGTTTGTATAAGTGGACGATGATGGTGTCCTTGAAGTTCTGAAGGATTTGTTCTTCTCTCTACATTTAAAAAAGACGAGGTTGGTTTTTTTCACGATCTTAGGGCCGCCATCTGTGAATTTCGGTTGGAATTGAGTAAGCGCGCGGTGTTTCGTTGCTAGACATCTGGTATATAGTTGTGATTGTCTTTACGTGGTCCGCGGACGGTCGAGGTCTGCGTTGGTATACACTTGATGAAGTCTTCGTGGTTTCGTAGAATATGGCGAATAGTCGATCTAGGACACCCAAGAAGCGCCTAACTCAGTGTTCCATAAGCTGAGATTTCTGCACCGGAGCCGAGCAGCTGTGCGGTTTCCATTGGTGGAGGATCATGAACTGCTGTAACATACGCGAAGTTCTTCGTTGAACTGCGATCTGCGTATCTTTGGATTTCGTCAGTTTTGCGAGTCACCCATGCATTTCGCATATTCTTCGGCCTCCGGTTCGTTGGACCTCAGTATCGAACGAATTGGCGTCAGCCTTATCGTTGACTATGTTGTGTGTAGACTGTTTTTTTCAGAAAACAAATGTCTGACCTAGTCATTGCCGTCGCCGAAACCGTCCCTGTGCTGCAAATATGAACGGTTGACGTCCGCAATTTCCTCCATTGCGCCTCAGTAATGGCACTTTCTTCCAGGACTTGTATTTGTTTCCGTCCGAGGTTTACGCGATTGCTCGCGGATCATGGTGAAGAGCAGTTGTACAAACTAAGTCACGCTCTTGCCACACGAAGTGCTAAGTAGTAGCCGTGGTACGCAGTGGCTAACCCGTCATTTCGCGGCAGCTTTAGGAGCACTATATCAACGTTGCTCCGTCAATCCAACAATACGAAAGTCTATTGAACACATTTTTAATAAATAATATTACTTTCAGTTCTGCAATGACACCCATACAAACATTGAAGAAGTCAAGTTCGGCGAACGTGCGTTTTCGATTATTCCGCCTTAGGCAAAACTTAAAACAGCCAATGAACAGTTATTATAGGGGTTTCTGTTTCAGATCTTAAGCAACAACGGCATCCATCGGTAAGGGCTCTCGGTACACTGACCTGTTAGAATTCCCAAACCCCATAATAATGAGACAATGATGACTATCGGCGTACTACTATCTCGGTTTCAGTAGGTCGTTTTGTTGACATTTACACTGGTACTGCTGAACAGCACAGTTTAATTTCCCCGGAAATTAATCGCGAACTTGGAGTAAATCAGTCTACCTGAGACTTATAGACTCAAACTGAAATTCGGCATGAATATTCCATTCTGAATCTATAGATCTTAAATAAACCGATTTACTCCAAGTTAGCGATTAATTCCCGAGGAACTTAAAAGGCTGTAATTTCAAAACTGGAGTGTCTACCAGAAAGCACAACCGGAACGCTGATGGACCCACTGATGAGGAAAACCCCTCGCAACCGTACCATGCAGCAGCAGAACATCAACGAAACACGTGTCTAGGTTTTTAGCTAATACCTGTGCTGTCAAATATAGTACATCGTGCAACTGCCGAACATATTGCGTGAAAATGCAGTGAGCGTTGTTCGTTGCTGTTTCGTCAATTTCCCACCACTAACACTCCTGTGTCATTACCGGTCTTATGAATTTCGTACACTAAAACGGCCCGTAAATATTTGCTACTTAACCGCTTTTCATACAGACCTGTATCGTTTAAATGGAGTTTTCGCGGGCTTCTGACATTTACCTCAAACACACTGACACTAACTGGTGGGCTGAGACTCAATGTAGGGGAAAAATAAGTCACAGCCGAGCCTTAGTATTTGTTACCTGATTGTCCGAAGAGTGAAATTATATTACAGTAAAGGAAAATTTCTTTTCTAACTAGCTACAGATCACATCCGACGAAAACTTAAAACTAATGACACACAGGAAAGTAGGCTTTGAGGTAACAACCACCATTTCGCATGCCCGAGCAATTGAAGTGAAAATCCAGTTGGTCTTCCTACCCAACCATGATGGGAAGCCACATTGGCTGTTTGTCTGTGAATAACGTACCACAGGGTTGTTCGTCGTCTTCCCTATCTGGTCTACTAGACGGCATACATGCCAAATGCCTACAGGACACACGTTTCTTCCTTCAAAGCTTATGGGAAGCACTAAGACACAGCCGGTGGGAAAGATAAGAATTTCGAAAGGCAAGGTCGAACGACTCCGTAGCGTTCGGTCATCTGCCTGCAAAACATGGTATTTAACAATTAACGTCAGTGGCAAATTTACTGAAGAACAATGGCAAACACGCAACTACATAGCCAGTTGAGAGGAACTATGTTAGAGAAGAATGCTTGCGAGGGGTGGATTGGACAAAAATTATCTTACCAACGACGCTATTCCACCAAATTTATTCTGACGACACAAAGACGACTAAAAATTTCTAAACGCCGCAAGTGCCATTTCAGAGAACGCAAACGTCTTTACGGCGTATAAGTAACGTCTTGTGGTGACCACCAAATCAAACCCAAAATGGACGATCTTTACAACTTGCTAACTGGGCCACACAACCGCCGCAAACTAATCACACAGTTTCTACGCGTCTTTGGTGGTAGTGAATGAAAAGCCAAATGGATAGCAATAGCCAAAAATCCGACCTTAAGAATTGATCGCACAAAACCCCTGTATCCTCAGCTTTGAAGCTGGCTCAAGCAGCTGTGTGGAGCACACTAGAACGTGGATAGATGCATAACCCTCGCAAACACGACAATGTGGATACAACTGTTGCTACCATTTGACCCTTCAAATTTTTGGTACGTCTTTAATTTGAAAAGTTGAAAAATAGCCAGATAGTTTCTGCAATCTCGGTTTCATAAGAAAGTGTATGATGCCCGGACACGAACTCACCAGGTCATCCGCACACTTGCAAAATTCCTCCTCGACCCGTTCCTTCGCAGCTCTTATCTCAGCAAGTTCCAGACGAGAAAGTTCGAAATCGTTCTTAACAGCCTCTAAATCGGCGGTTAAAAGCTCTTTCCTTTCTTCCAAATCACTGAGGGGTTAAAAATGCACAGTATTCGGTAAATTCAAGTACGTATAGCAAAGATGGAAAGGGTTTAAACGGCGAGTTTATGTACAATTAATTACATACGATCTCTGATCATGACTTTGACGTCAAAGCTTCGTAATCCCTTGATAGCTGGGAGGAGCTTTTGACTAGACCGTAAATGATAATCGGTAGTCTTTTGGAATATGATTTCAGAAAACAGGACGGAAGTAATACTACCGAAAATTATAGACATAGGTCCTTAAATTTCAATCCCTAAAACGGTGCGGAGCTTTTGTGCCTGTGGTGATATAATGTACTGGTAAACACGGTTTCACTAGATTCCTGAGTCGTTCTGGTACATTAACCGGAAGGCCGTAACAAGCAGACCGCGAATGAGCAAATAGTAGCAAGCTTTCAGTAGGACATCTAAAGTAACATTATATTTCTCCCTGACACCCTAATTAATAGGCTTGGTGGTTAAAATTAACTAAAATATACCCGAGGATGGCAGCGGCATGTTGGAGTGCCACGCAAAAGGTGTGGAGCAGTCACTTACCTTGTCGAGTTACCTAGTCTTAGAAAAACAAAGTTATTCACCATCCCTTGAGTTTGAGTGACTTCCTATCCGTTCCACACACTTTTAAAGTTTGATGAGGTGCACACTAATCAGGCAAGCACAACAAATCGCCTGGATACTGAAGGGTGGGAAAGAAATGCCTATTTCATGAGGCTGGTTGAAAGAGAAATGTTAGTAATGAGACCTACACCAGCTCAACTACATGGTTACAAGACACTGTTGTAAGCATTCTTAAGAGTTTGGATTCTGGTCGATAAATCGGCACCTATGAAACGTCATGTCAATACGCTGCGCATTATTATAACACGTCATTTCAGTGAAGCGCATCAGCCAAGGGAGCGTTTTTGGCTTGGTGGTCACGTCATCAGTTCAATGTAACGCTTTACAGTATGACGTCGGTCATGATACTTAACCAGCGACCGGCCAGCCGACCTGATAGCATAATAGAGCATCCTTGATCATTCCCAGACAAAACTTTTACCAGGTACGCAATAAATAAAGTAATGGTAGCAAACGAGTGGGTAACAAGGGGAGTAATGGAGAAACGGCTTCCTTGTGCGTTGGATAGGTCACTTGTGCGATTCTTGATTGACAGTGGCCGACAATGACCGATTTTCTCAGAATATTTGGTTTGGTATCATGCTACTAATTGTGGTCAGACACTGGTGACGCACACCCACACCTGGTGCTGAACAGATATGGCGCCGACAGTAAATAGTTGGATGGTGAACACTGTATGGATTTCCACCGCATGCATCTGCTGTCAAGTTTATATGCGATCGAGCGTAGACACGCGCACACAAGCAAATGATAGAGCAGACATTAGATCGGATAAATCGGACAGGAGATAACTGACCTAATCCAAAAGCCAGATGTGTTTAAAATGTACTCTTAGGAGTCTACTTGCTCTAGTGACAACACTCATTATGACTGACTCAGTTAGTTCCATGTGACAGGTTCAGCGGATGACCACCCTCCATTACAATCGGTCGGTGATGGAGAACCGAGCGAAGATGGGCCAGCTGGTGTGCTAGTCTGTGGGGAAATATTATCATGACCAGGAACAGGTGATTTTGATGAAAAACATCGAAATCAGCAAAGGAGAAAAGGAGGAATTGTTGGCAGCACAGGTGGTGATCGATGGCACACTTAAGCGAGGAGTGCTGAAAAACATATCCCCTCTCCCACTAATTATTTCTTCCGCATGTCGTGATACAAGTTTATACATCTGATAACGAGTGCGGAAACACTCGCTGCAATAGCAAGAACTTTCGTGTCACGGCACTTTTACACAGCAGTCTATTACCATTTATGATAGCCAACCTAAAGACCGAGTCTACGCACTCTGCAGGCAAGGTTTGTTTTCTGACTTCGATGAGGTCGTGTAACCAGTTCGGTATTACTGCTGAATAGCACTTGCAGACTTCTGCTGTCAGTCGCTGCCAGCCGCTCGGTTACTTTATAGCTTCCCTATCGAAACTGGTAGCTTGTGGCCACAGCCACACTCGGGCGACGTGCGCACCACAGCGCTTAAATTTCCAAGCTCTGTGCGAACTGTTGAGAGTGCTGCCAAAGAAGTTGACTAGATTAAAAATGAGAGGTTTTCGTGGTGATCAGCTACGAGTTAGCAACGGGAGGATTTGAAGTGGGTTTGGGTCAAAGTATTTTCGTCAAGTCTGACAACTTGTGTTTTGCCAGACAGTAATACCGGCCGTAACTGCCGGCGGACTACTCAGAACGTTTTATAGAAGTCATTTAGGGACTTGTATATTATTTTTTAGCATTTGGGAATTGTTCACTGAAGTCGAAAAATAGTACTTACTCTATCCTTGATCGTTGTTGGCTCAATTGGAGCTGAATGGCTTGGTAATTATCGGCATCGATGAAGATCCCAGTTTTGGAACGAGAAGCCTCCAGGTCACGCCTAAGACGTTCCAGTTCTTCATTATATCCTTTGATCAGCTCCTTTTTGTTTAGTTTTTGGTTAATTTCGGGTCGGTTCTGTATATTCTTCGCTCGGTGGGCGTAGTCCAGTGTAGACAAGGTCTCCTCAAGACATGAGTTCGCGGGACTGACTGTAGCAATTATCGAAGTCTTGGTTCGACCACCCAAAGAATCCTGTTGATGTTGTTTGAGGTAAGGTGTCATTACCTGCAGCAAACGCGTCAGTTTGCTCTCACGATACGGGATATGCGGAGCATGGTCGACGAGGCAAGTTATAACACGGCCCAGAGTGAGAAGACTTTGATTTATCGACCCAGCTTCCCGAGCTCGCTTGTCCAGAGCACCAGACCTACCTATGTTTTCACTTCCAGCTAAGTCCACTAAATTTAGTTTTCCTATTTTGAGGAAAACTTCTCCGTCTTTAGGGCAGATCTCTTTGATGTGAACGGTGACAGTAAAAACGGAGTGCGAACGGCTAAAAATATAGAGAAATTGTACAACGATACCTAGACTGGGCATTAAGTTGAGTGCAGGCTGTTTGACGTCGGGCGAGTCCTCTTTCCAAGATATCATAAACCTCTTCCTTGTTCAGAACTGCAACTTCCCTGAGGCCTTTGACCACCACCGATCCCTTTCGTGTTGAGTCATCATAAATAGTTAAACGACTGCAGTCCTCACCCGATGCAAGCAAGTCGAAAAGCTCTTCGTTATAAAGCTCCAGAAATGAAACACGAATGGAGAAGTCACAGCTCTATTCACTAGAGTAAACAATGAGGTTCACTAACCATAGACTCCAAGACAGTGAAAATCTGATTTAAGGCTCTGGGCACAAGCCCCGCAGTGGGATCATTTTCCCAGGTATACCTAAGGGCGTCCGACCGTTCTCCTGTCATCGTGTAAGTCTTTCCGGTGCCAGTTTGACCGTATCTAAAGTAAAAAAATTAAGGAATGGCAACGTCCCACGCAAAAATGGTGCAATTGTATCCCTCAATGACCTCCAGTACAGCAGGTGCAACCATCTCATTATAAACTTCTGCTTGCTTTGATCGTGGGCCGAAGACCCTGTCAAAAACATACGACCTGGTCGAGGTCGATTTATCTCGTAACGTGACTTTATGGTCTTTGCATGATTCAACAATGTTGAGATCTCCATTTGCGATCTCATTTGCATTAAGAGGCCTGGCAAGATAGAAACAACACAAAAGCTAAACCTGGAACGAACGGCTACACGTATATTCTGCCGATCTGACTTCCTGGAAGGCATCTTAATCAAAGTTGTATAAGCCGGGACTCCTGAGAGGGTTCGTATCCGATTAATTAAAACTCGGTCAACAAATCAGATTCGGATTCTCAAAAAATTGTCCTTGGACGCAAATCCCAGCAAAAACGTTTCCGAGTTTAGTGTTTCTCAGTTGATGAGGAAGGTTTCTGTTTCAGTCTCTACCCACACATCCGCAAGCTCTCTTTCAGAGCTGAATAGAGTCGTAGTGCCCAGAGGACCGGGTGGAACTCCCAGTTCATTGACCTTCTCCATCATCATACGTGGCGGTGAAGGCGACTCCAACAGGAGCCAGCCAACTGAGGGCACCTTAAGTCAAAGGGGTACCGCTCGGCGCCACACCCCGGGCAAACACCTCGACCGGCGGGCTAAACCAGGTGAGAGCGGTTACTCCCGGTGCGCGTTGTGCCACGTGCACAGGGTACTGCGGACTCCGCTGGACGGTTGGTCGGATGGAACACCGTGTCAGCGCCGTCGTGAAGAGGTTTCGTCTACGCTGTCGGTCAGTCGGTTAGTGGAACATCGCATCGGCATCGCGTCGTCGAGACGAGGATCAGCCTGATACGCCGCTGATCAGCCGGTGGGATGGATCTTCGAATCGACATCGCGGACTCGCGCCCATCTGGTGCACCGTAGGAGGCTGCAGGCTCCGTAAGCCATTGGCAAATTCGAGTCGTTCTGCCACTGCCAAACAAACTCGTAGCCACAGTGGAGTTCGGCCGCGCCGGCACATCAAGCAGCCCTATTCAGGGACCAGGCAATGCTTCTCTTCGGAGGGGGCCTGGAAAAGCTGGTCTAAAAATTGCTGGGGAACCACGTCGTCTGCAGGCGCACCGTGGTCGCAGACGCAAAACTCACGGTCGAAACAACAACAACCATATTCATTCTCCTTATCCTACCTCTTCTTCTTCTTCTTCTTCCTCTGCCTATTCTTCAACTTCGTCATCTTCTTCTCCACCTCCTTCCAGTCGCCCCACCCGTTGTCACCAGACTGGCAGGGTGAGCTCGCTCACTCTGGCAGCCTGGAATGTTCGTTCCCTTTTACACAATTCGAGGAGCTACCGACCGGAATGGAGGACGGCGCTAGTGGCTCGAGAACTGGTGCGCCACAAGGTGGACATCGCCGCACTCAGCGAGACCCGATTCTCCGAACAAGGCCAACTGGAGGAGGTGGGTGCCGGCTACACCTTCTTCTGGAGTGGGTGGCTCAGAGCAGAGCGAAGAGACGCGGGCGTCGACTTCGCCATCCCGAACGACATCATAGGACGACTGTCCTGTCTGCCGTAGGGTACCAAGGATCGCCTGATGAGCCTCCGCCTGCCTCTCCGGGGTGGGGGCAAATTCGCCACCATCATCAGCGCCTACGCTCTGCAGATGAGCAGTCCCGACGCCACAAGAGACAAATTCTACGATGACCTGCGCGCCCTCTTGGCGACTGCGTCGAAGGCGGACAAGTTGATTGTCCTTGGGGACTTCAACGCCCGCGTGGGCACAGACCATACTGCCTGGAGAGGAGTGCTGGGTCCCCATGGTCTCCGCGGCTCAAAAGACAATGGCCGGCTGCTCCTACGCACCTGCGCAGAACACCGCCTCATGCTGACGAACACGTTCTTCTGTCTGCCGGAGCGAGAGAAGGCCACCTGGAGGCATCCTCGGTCGCGCCAGTGGCACCTGCTGGACTATGTCCTCGTCCGGAGGCGAGATCAGCGGGACGTGCTGGTGACGAAGGTGATCGCGGGTGCTGACGGGTGGACCGACCATCGCCTCGTCATCTCGAAGATGCGTATTCGCCTACAGCCTCGCAGGAGACCGCAAGGTAAGCGACCCCCAGGTAAGCTGAATATTGCCTTATTGTCTTTGTCCGCTTACCATCTCCATTTCAGCAATGAGCTAGCTCAAGGGTTAGACAACCTTCCTATCGCTGCCGCCGCCGATGCTGCCGCTGCCGAGTACGCCTCCATGGAGAACCGCTGGTGTCAACTGCGAGACACGGTCCAGTCGACGGCGCTAGCCGTCCTCGGTCGCGCATGCCGTGAACACCAGGACTGGTTCGACGACAACGACGCTGCCATCAGCAATCTGCTCGCCGAGAAGAATCGCCTACACAAAGCCTACGTACACCACCCCACTGACGACAACAGAGCTGCCTTTTACCGCAGTCGCCGCCAGTTTCAGCAACGACTGCGCGAAATGCCGGACGCCTGGACTGCTCGCAAAGCTGAGGAGATTCGAGGCTACGCGGACCGCAACGAGTGGAAGAACTTCTTCTCTGCGATCAAAGCTGTCTACGGTCCGCCGACGAAGGGCACCGCTCCCCTCCTCAGCGCCGACGGCAGTACTCTCCTGACTGAGAAGACACAAATCCTGCAGCGATAGGCCGAGCACTTCCGAGGCGTCCACAACCGCCCCTCCGCCATCTCCGACGTCGCCATCGCCCGTTTGCCGCAAGTGGAGACCAACGTGGACCTCGACCTCCCGCCATCTCTCCAGGAGACCATCAGGGCCGTGCAGCAGCTCTCCAGCGGGAAAGCACCCGGATTGGACGCAATCCCTGTTGAGGTCTACAAGCACGGAGGTCCCCAACTGATGGATTACCTGACTGCGCTCTTCCAGGAGATGTGGCGTCAAGGCGAAGTCCCGCAAGATTTCAAAGACGCAACTATCGTGCACCTATACAAGCGAAAAGGGAACCACCAAATCTGCGAGAATCACCGTGGCATCTCCTTGCTGAACATCGCCGGGAAGATCTTCGCTCGCATCCTTCTCAACCGCCTCAATAACCATCTGGAACAGGGCCTTCTGCCGGAAAGCCAATGCGGCTTCCGTCGTCATCGTGGGTCCACGGATATGATCTTCGCCGCCCGTCAACTTCAGGAGAAGTGCCAGGAGAGGCGGACCCACCCGTACTCTACCTTCGTGGACCTGACGAAAGCCTTTGACACGGTGAATCGTGAAGGACTGTGGAAGATCATGCAGAAATTCGGCTGTCCGGAGCGATTCATTCAGATGGTGCGTTAGCTTCACGACGGTATGATGGAGCGAGTCACGGACAACGGAGCGGTCTCAGAGGCATTCGCAGTGACCAACGGAGTGAAGCAGGGATGCGTGCTGGCACCAACCCTCTTCAGTCTTATGTTCTCTGCCATGCTGATGGACGCCTACCGCGACGAACGCCCCGGGATCCGCATCGCCTATAGGACGGACGGTCACCTCCTGAATCAACGACGGATGCACTTCCAATCACGCGTCTCCACAACCACCGGTAGAGGAGATGCAACGGAGCATGGACCTGTTCTCCGCCGCCTGCGAGAACTTCGGTTTGGTCATTAACACGCAGAAGACGGTGGTGATGCATCAACCGCCACCCAACACAGCAACTCCTCCCAACGCGCCGCAAATCAGCGGGAACGGAACCCAACTGCAAGTGGTGGAGAACTTCCCGTATTTGCGCAGCACCCTCTCCCTTAACGCCAAAATCGATGACGAAGTCGATCGCAGGATCTCGAAAGCCAGTCAAGCATTCGGCCGCCTCCGAAGCACAGTTTGGAATCGTCATGGTCTACAACTGAGCACGAAGCTGAAGATGAACAAGGCCGTCATCCTGTCGACGCTGCTGTACAGAGCGGAGACTTGGACAGTATACACGAAGCAGGCACGTCGATTGAACCACTTTCACCTTAGCTGTCTCCGTCGCATCCTGAAGCTGAACTGGCAGAATCGCATCCCCGACACTGATGTGCTGGAACGGACGGGAATCCTCAGCATCTACGCCATGCTGAGACAAATACAGCTGCGTTGGAGCGGCCACCTGGTGCGCATGGACGACGAGCGACTACCCAAACGACTCTTCTACGGAGACGTCGCCACGGGCTCTCGCCGCCAAGGAGGCCAAATTCGTCGATACAAGGATACCCTGAAGTCCTACCTGAAGCGCCTGCAAATCAACCCGACCAACTGGGAAGAGCTCGCCCTCGACCGACTGACATGGAGGAGGAAAGTGAAGACAGCCGCTGCGATCTATGAGACCAACCTTATCGCCGCTGCCAAAGTGAAACGCGACGCACGCAAATCACAGCCACGTCCCGTCAACAACGCCGACGCACAACCGCTTCCAACGTGTCCTCGGTGACAACGGACATTCCGGGCACGAACTGGACTCATTGGACGCCTTCGGACCAACTGCACCTCCTATACCGCACCAACCGCTGTCCCTCCGCCCGCCTCTTCCTCGTCCTCTCCGCCGCCAACTAAATCTGACAATTCTTCTGAACCACCACTTCCGTCCTCCTCCTCCTCCTCCCCTCTCCTCCTCCTTCTCCTCCTCCTCCTCCTCCTCCCCTCATCCTCCCCCTCCTCCTCTCCCTCTTCCTCCCCCTCCTCCTCTTCCCCCGCTTCTTCCTCCTCCTGCCCCACTGCACCAACCACGCCCGCTCTGATGGCCGTCACTCACACCAGCATCACACACATTCAGGACACAACAACAGGCACCATCCCTCCAACCTCCGACTCCAGAGGTGAGGACCAGGACTACACCTGCCGTCACTGCGACCGCACCTTCACCTCACATATCGGCCTGGTCAGTCACTTGCGAATACATCGCACAGAGACTGGCGAACCAGTGCCTGGAGCACCAACCTACACCCACCGCACTCGCCTTCACTGCCCACACTGCCCTCGCACCTTCACGCATCGCATGGGCCTATTCGGCCACATGCGCATCCACGAGAGCAGAATTGACCGTCCTCCCAACTCACCCACCACGTTAAACTCCATCCCCACTTCATCACCCATCACCGTCATCGCAACTGACACCGACACCACCGACTTCGCCTGCCCACACTGTCCACGCGCATTCACCTCTCGCCCAGGCCTGGTCGGTCACTTGCGAATCCATCGCACAGAGACTGGCGAACCAGTGCCAGGAGTACCAACCTACACCCACCAAGCTCACCTTCACTGTCCACACTGCCCTCGCACTTTCATGCATCGCATGGACCTACTCGGCCACATGCGCATCCACGACGACCTGCGGTAGACAACCGCCGGTTACACCACACATTCACTCACTCCCTACCTCCTCCATCACCACCATCACCATCACCCCACCAGAAATCAACACTCACACACCTCATGCGCCGGACTGCCATCTCCCACGGAAGTGGGAAGTCCGCATCTCGACTCGGTCCCCATGCGGCATCGGCTGCACGGGTGACTTGAGTCCGAGACTATCCCGGCACGTCAAGCGTCGTGGATAGGAAGGTTGCTGGTTGACGCCCGCTCTCGGTTCACGCAGTTCGTCGCGTTGTGTGTGTGTGTTGTGTGGAGTGGCGGACTGGTGGGCTGGGGACGGGCTGAAACAGCACCTTCCACAGCACTCTCACGCAAGTGAGAGACACGCCGTTCAACCCCCGTTGTGTGAAATCCTGGTGTTTGTGTGTGTATGGGGGGCCAGGTCGTGCTGTGGCACGCGCAGTCATGGTCAGTCGACCATGACAGACACCGTGCCCATTTCCCACTCCAGTCTGCTGACCGGCTCGGACAGCGGCTGGGGTGTGGGAGTGGGAAGGGAGAGTGAGGTCGACGACTCAGCGCACTTTCTCCTCACTATAAACAATCTGACGCACTTGAAGCTATCACGGTGCGCTAAAAGCCGTGGCTTGGAAGATTGTCAACTGACGGGATAACTTGGACCTCCTCCTCGACTGGTGGGGGTCTGAGAGTCAGGCTGCAATGGCTCCTTTTTAATGTGGCCTTTCTGGCATTCCCACCACAGTGTGGGATCCGAGCCAGGCGTTGGCGGCACGCCCAGGTGCGTCTTCGGCCGTGCCAGCCTCCAAATCTCTGTTGTGTTGGTTGAAATCCTGGTTATTGTTGTGTGGACCAGGGGGTGTGGTGGAACGCCAAGGTGAGGATCCGTCCGAGCCATCCACCTGTGGCCTCCCTCGTCTCTGGTGTTCTTGACTCTGTCTTGACACCGGGCTCGGGTGAGGGAGGAGGAGAGAGTGTAGGTAGATGCAGCGTAAGTCTACCGGCACTATAAACCCCTGCGCAAGTCACTGTCCCTGCTCCCACCGCTGCTGCAGCTGTGGGGCAGACGGTGGACATCATCGAAATCGATGGTCGAACTGTCATAGAGTCGTAGTAACCAGTCGTTTAAGAATGATCCAGCTCTCTCAACAGCGGATGAGCTACAATCTTGGCCCAGTTGTCCGTATAATTTGGCTCCAATTACATAAAAGAATCTCATGGATTAGCAGACAAACTGGACAATATAGTTTGCCCAACCAACATTAGTAAGGCAACATTGACTAGATGTCCAGTTGGACACTGTTTCAGCATAATCTCGGCATCAAAATTCCTAGATGGCCATGTAAAAACGAACCTAACGTGTAGAACCTTGCCTGAGAGACGGTTGTTTATTATGCGACCCGTAAATAGTCATATGCCATCATAATGCAACGTCATACTTATCGTCAATTTAAACTTGGAGCACCTAACTTCAGTTATCAGCAGTACAGGAAGATGTAATTTAGGCGATAAATGTCGGATTCTGTGGCAGTTTAAATGGGAAGTTGATGAGAATATATATTTGTACATAGGGAAGGCTTAATACGCAGGCTGTGTAACATTCCTCCTCCGCGGTGTTTGTTCCACCCTATTCCATCCTTTGGAGCGCAAAGAATCCCCACGACAGTTCTAGTTATTGTTCTGAGGATGGAAAGTTGTTTCTAGAAAAGTACAATTTGGGTTGATTGCAAAACGCAACAGTCGTATGAAATTTATGAATGCGTATCTTCTGAACCTTCTTTGACCTTACTAAACGCCTCGAAAGACCTAAATCAAGCTCACATTCGTTTGCATATTTCCTCCCACCCCTTTCGGCAGCGACGTCTCAGTAACATTTCGCTATAGAAACAAAAGGTACTGCATCTGTGATTGCCTCATATGATTTTGACTTCTACAGGGCGTCCCTTTTTCCTCTGAAAGGAATATTGGATGGTGATTCCACCTTCAGCCAGCAAGTAGAATATACGCTTGATGAAAGCATCTTTGGAACGCTTGCCGAAGCAGTCGAGGTAAGAAGTCTCATGGAAAACGCAGACGAAACAGCACTCGCCAACCAGCTGATTTTTAAGGTCCTTATGAGCTAACTAAACTTTTAGCCTGACTAGCTTACTGGATATGAAGACAGCTGAAAAAAGAACTTGGAAGAGGCTGACAGCTGCCGCACTAGCAACATTTGAATCCGCCTATGTTTACTCAATCAAACCTGCGGTTTTTCTTTAACTATAATCGTCTCCTCGACGCGGTTTTTGTAGTATGGCAGACGGTGCGCAAAAAGTCCTGGATGCCAATCAGTCGACAGTGTTTTCAGAAGACAGGAAAATCTTCATAAGTCATGTAGGATATAGAGTCATACGCTCATGACACTAGAGGTCTGCTGTACATATTGTGTCAACGGACTCGGTCTCGCGTATCCACTGCATTACAATCCAAGAGTTCAAGACAGCATCTCTAGTAGCAGCTTACCATAAAATTCAATCGACAGGCAGACCTTTGGTGAATGTTATCTGCCGTTATCCTCTTTAACTCCAGGTAACCTAAGTATGAAAAGCCTATGCCAGCAATTCGATTTCGGATGAAGGCCTCCAAATCACAACCCCAACAACTCATTCACAATGAGAAGGTAAAACAAATGTAGAAGGTTAGGAGGGACATTATACATTAGGTCTACCCTACGGGAACAAACGATGAAAAATGCGTACTTTATTTTTGTCCTCCATCGACCCAGAGGAACTTCACACTATTCCTCTCTCTCCCTTCGATACTCTTGAGGGGAGAACATTTCTTCGACGCACAATTCCACGATTGTTGCCGTTAGCGCCCATGGTAGACATTTAACTTCTTCATTTGTTCTGCAATAGCCTTATCAAATACATCGCGAATTATAGCCTCGACGAAAAAAGCAGGACGACCTAAGTTACTCAGCGCACTCCACATTCCCGCCACGGTATTATATGAATAAAGATGGGCTAACAGAGAACATTGTCATTGAATGACTTTACCTTTGCACACCATATACTACAGGAAAGAACGTCACTGACCGACAGCTGCACAATTGGACCTAAAATAAACAACATTTTGCGTTTAACTTTCGACGGATAAGGAGATCGCCAATAATCGCATTCATTATCTCGTCGCAGTTTGTGAAAACAGCTTTTCACCCGACAGCCTGTGCCATTGGTTCTGTAATTTTATGTGTACGCTTTCATTAATGTGTAATGTCCCTGGTTGCATTTATTACGTGGTTAAAAAAAGTATTCTTGGGAGCAATGAAAGCTTGGGCACGACTTTAAAAGTATCCAAGAGACTTGAAAATGTTCTTGCCCAACGGTGCATCGTGAAGAACTATCGCATGACCTCTTTGAGCACTTTTTTGAAACAGTTCTGTCATAAAGCTGCTGTCGTTTTCTGTTACCTTGAGGTCTCGTGACTCAACGCATTCGGCTGAATTTAACAACAGTAAGGTGTCCCTTTGGCCATCAAAGTCAAACGACGTCAGTATTACTTCGTCCAGCTTTTGGCGCTCACAAAACCTCGGAAGCGAAGGCAGATCGGCACGCTACCGACTGCCACTTTGGCAGAGACATGCAGATGACAATTAGGGATTGGAAACGGCTTCAGGCGCATGGAAACGACAAAAAACAGGGCCTGTTGGCGAGACAAAGGACATGACTTTTAATTAGGGTGGGATAAACCCTGTAAGGAAATAAAAATTTGGGTTCCAATATTCAACCCCGAGATTACTCTTTCGTTTTGACTTCCGTCCACCGGAGGTTTATGCAGCCTGAGGACATTAGTAATGGAATATCAGCCAACAGCGCATTCAACCTCGAAAAGCTCCACCAAGAAGTCAAAAAGACACGTTGAGCATCGTAACCGACGATGTTTAACGTGTGCTCCACAGCAAGGTAAAGCAGGCAAGGTAACTGCGCGTGAATAAGTTTGTAGTGTGAGTTGGCTCGCGTCGTATCTACCGCACCCCTTTTTCCTACCCACCTGTGTCCGGTGTCAATACATAGTTAAGAAGATCGGAGGTGGGATGGGGTATAGGTGGCCGGCACGGCCGGACCCGAGCCTAGGTGTATCACCACGGCCCGTGGTCTACACCGAACACTCGACCAGGATTGCATCGGAGCTTGGTGCTTTTCCGGTGGAAAGTTGTTACAGAGTCCGGATGGTTTCTGGAAAGGGATTCGGGAGATACCGGTCGACGATTATTTTTGCTTGGGGAAGCCATTCGGTGGCGGTGTCGAAGATTGTGTAGGAGCGACTGAAGACGTTTCTGAAGTGCCTGGCCCACCGCTTCGAAATCTGCGACTTCTCCGTCAGAAGCGTTGATCCATCTAAGCTGAGAAAAGACGCAGTTCTTTTAGTTGGGGCCGGGGATCACCTTCATTGTAGCTAAGAAGCTCTATGATTCGTTGCGGCCAGCGTACTCCTAGATCTTCACAGCCTTGCGAGCCATGCAGGCACCCTGCATTTCTCGCAACCTTTACTGAGCGCGGCGGCAATATTGGCAGGAGGCCGCCTTGTTTGCATCGGTCGGACGATCGAGAGAGGCTCTGTGCAGCCTGTTCTTCTGGGCGAACAGGTTACTGGTGACCGCATCGTTGTCGTCGACCGAGTTCTTGTGCTGGCGAGATGCCTGGCCGAGGACACCCAGGGCGGTTGAATGAATGACGTCCCGTAGATGGCATCATCGAGTCTCACCTCATCCTGCACACCATCACCGCTACCACCACATAAGCACAGTTCCGTTCTGTCCTTAGTGCGACCGCACAATTGGATCGTGCATCGGTTGGGTCGGTCACAGGCGAGCCCATCGAGCCACGAACCTCGAAACACTGCCTGGAGCTCCGAGAGACCCCAATCAGACACGTTTTGCCGATCCACTCTGCTCCAGGGCATGCAGGTACCGAATGTGTCTATTCAGCTAAATGCAGATTCCTGAAAAATGCCTGGTTAAACAACATAGTTCAAGTCCCCTCACAAAACTTGGCCCTACCTATCCTCAAAGTCTCACATCGACCACGCATAATATTACTTAGTCACATGCGTATTCACAACGACTATCAACGGCAAATCCCAGAACACACATGAAAATGCACGCTTTGTAATTTTCCAGCGTCAGTATGACGGCTGAAATATCACAGCTGAAGAGGCACATATCTCCAGAGAGTGAAAATCGCGTCAATTTCTGTAGTCTGATGTATTTACAGCAGGCAACTGGCCGCGACTGGCATGCACAGACGGGCTGTACGGCCTTGTTAGTCGTTACGTCCAAATTAATCCACAGGCAGCTAAATTCAGGAAGGCCCCTGATAAACAGGAGAGATAACAGAGTGAAGCCAATACTGAGGGGTTTATTATAGAATAGAATAGTTTTATTACTTGAATGGAAGCGAATATGCGAGTTCCAGGTTCTCGTTGCAAAGAAGATGAACCTTCCGGTCTCGTACAGGAGGCCATCGTCAGAGACTGAGAATGTGGCGTCAGGTGAGCAGTTTTTGTAGTCAAACAAAGAAGAAGGGTAGGAGTGTAGGGGGTGGCATTCGCGACAAGGCTGAGTTCATGCCGTCTCACGGCGGTGTGACCGGGTGCAACCTTGGCTGGGAATTGGGTCTCGCCTCTTGGCCGCGGGAACGGAGTGCGTGATAGCAGGGGGGTATGTTAACGTGTCTGTTGATAGAGTTTGTATCAGACACCCAGGCCTCCAACAGTTCTCGACCTGTCTTATTGCTGATCCGTGCTACTATCCGCGTGCTCGCGAAGTTGAATTCGTGGCCTTCCTCCAAGGTTTGAGTAGCGACCTGAGACAACGGGTCGCCTCTCCGGACCGTTCGTTTATGCTCCATTATTCGTGAGCTAAGTCGTCGTCCGGTCTGTCCTGTGTAGTGGCGAAGGCAGTACCGACATTAGATCTGATAAACGACACCCGATTGTCCTCCCACGTCCAGTCGGTCCTTCACTTGCATGATTTTGTTGTGCATGGTCGCTGTTGGACGGTGAACGATACCCAAGCCGAGCTCTCCAGCGATACGTTCCATCGTTTAGGACACATTCTTTATATATGGTGGGGGGTGCCAGAGTGTTGGCGGCTCTCCTCCGTTTGTGCGCTGTGGGTGCATGAGGAGGCGGCGACTGGCGAAGCTGTTTGGGTATCCACTCGTTGCCAATTGGTCCGGATGAGGCCGTAGTTCTCGTACTCTTCCCTTCGGTTCACTGCATTGCGTTTTTACCCCTTTGAAGAGTGTCCTAACACAGCTGCGTGTATGCGCCATCGGGTGGTTACTATGGCAGTTGAGAATCTGAGTCGTGTTAGTCTCCTTTCTATACATCGTGGTGTGGGTTTGCCTGTGACGAGAACGCCAAGGAAAGGCAACTGTTCGGCATGCTCTTCTTCTCTTGTGAACTGAATGTCGGGGAACATGCCGTTAAGCAGGTCTTGAAAGTCCGCCAGTCTGATCCTTTCAATTAAACCGAACTTGTCGTCTACGTACCAGTGTAAAAACGCAGGTTCATAATGGTCGAAGGCGACTTTTTCCTGAAAGACTGGTTGCGCAACCAGGATGGATATTGGTGAACCCATCGGTGTCGCTCTGATCTACTCGTGTGTTTTGCCATTGAAGGTGAAAAGGCTTGCTGGCAGGAAGCAAAGACTTGCAGTAAATGGTCAATTTTTACAGATCAGCTCGTTTCGTCGTAGTTTTCTTCGAGCCGTTTGCGTAGAATGTCGCGTGCTAGGTCCGGTGGGATGGATGTGAATGGTAAAACCACGTCAAAGAACACCATAATTTGATCAGGTCACACAGTTTTTCCTCGGATGTCGGCCAGGAATTGGGAGGCCGAATTGATGGAGGTCCTCTTGGATGCTGTAAGTTTTCTTAGCAAACAGGAAAAAACCTAAAACAAAAGGCATACCGGCACACCATTCACTGAAAAAACATTATGTGCTTGAATCTTTCAAGATACATTGGGAGTCGGGGCTTGTAAGGTTGCCACTTGAAGGGATAGCTCAACCCTCCTGTACGTATTTCGGAGTGACCGCAGAACTGAAAGTCAGGCCGCGATGACTCCTTGTCAACGTTGCCCTTACGGAATTCTCACT